TTGAATGCAACATTTCATCGGCTGCTACAGAGTCCAAGATCCCGGCGGGAGACGTCATGTAATGTGCGACCGTAAAGTACGCGCATTCTCTGAGAACCGTCAAGAACGAGGAGACCGATAGTGACGATCCGCATCAATCCAAGGCCACAGCCCCGAGCGAGACTTGATCATGGAATCTGCACGCTCGGAAGTCGCTGATCTCGCAGCCAGCGCGATAATTGCGCCAAGTATTAACGAGCGCATTACCCGACTGTGTAAGATGAAGAATGGGACTATCGCTCGGACAGCCAAAGGTCACTTCCGCCGTTTCGTCTTGCGCTTGCTGGCATTAACGGTCAGAGTACACTAGTAAATTTTCTGATTTTGTGATGTAATATACTCCAATAATCAATATCTTACTTTGGTGTATCCGAATGATAGGGCCAATGTAACAAGCAAATCGTAACAGAAGACCGTTGAGTCCGTAGATTTTTAAGTTTAAAAACTAAATATTTGTATGACCGTCACGTCTCATATTAGGGTTAACAATCTACAGCCCTAACAGAACAACTTTTGCTGGGGCAAAAACGTCTGCAAGTAAAATATTCGTTGCAAAATACACGTTAAATCCGGGAAAGGATGATTTTCAACGTATGCTTTGACACTTCGGATCACTGTCTGCACTGACCTCTCCTGTTGTCCGTTGGCCTGGGGGCGGTAGGCCAGGGTCGCGCGTTGTCTGCTCCCAAGCATCTCCCGGAAGTGTTTGAACACCCGACCCATGAATCGTGGGTCTCGGTCGTGGCGAATCATTTCGCTGGCTCCTAACCTACGGAACACGCATTCTTCGTAGGCTTCGGCCACATCTTGGGCTTCAGTACTTGCCATGGCTTTACACATGATGAACCCTGAGAACGCACACTGGAACAGAAGTAGCACTGTGTTCCCAGGGCTGACTGAGGCAACGGTATAACAAAGTCCATCGGGACGACTTGAAACGGTCGCGTAGCCAGCAAATTGCCGGGTGACGAGCCTGGGTTCCGGGGTAACCCCTTAGCCGTGACGCAATCCACGCACTCTTTGGCGTATCGCTCCGTGTCCTTGAACATCCCAATCCAGTAGAATTCTTTGCGCAATCTCTCGTAGGTCAGGATGATACCCTGGTGAGCGCCTTGGAGGTCTGCGTGACAGTGGTGCAGAATATCCTCTTGGAGGTCTTGGGGGACTACCAGGCGGAGACGATCGGCAGCGTCCCGGGG